ATAAGTGTAAGATCGACTACACAAAGTCAAAGTTTTTCAAATGCAACGACACTTGGAGACAACTAAGCATCGCTCCTGACTACAGTAAAATAAGGATTGCTTTTCTATCAAGAGTTGATAAAAGCAAAGATTATAAATATTATATTTCAGTAAGTATGAAGTACTACATAGGTTTCTTTGCTTATTCTTCACCCATTCGCAGAAACTGATTTAATTCCCAGGCTTTCTTTTCCCCTAGTGCACTACTCGCGAAGTAAACCTGTTATATACTTAATCATTTAGATTGTACAACTTCATGGTCTTAGATGAGTGGTGTTAAACATCAATGTTCGTATTTCAAAATCATTATATGTGTTGTTTATAGGACGAGAGTGCRTGTTTTATCGGGGGATATATTGATTCGAGACGCAGGCGATAAAACACGCACTCGAGTTCTAGAAACAATTTCTAGAACTCCAGAAATTGTTATCATTTTAGAAAATGCTGCCAAAAATCGCGAAAACTGTGATAATACATATTAAACTTCTAATGAGCATGTGCATTGTGCCGCAATTGAAAGAATTTTGATCCCGTACATTGATTCAAACTGAATTAAAAAACCTAGCAAAGGTCTATGTTGCATTAAAACTGAGACCTTTGCTAGTGTTGGGTTGCGATGAAGCGCTGGTGAACTTGAACATCAGTTCTTTATATATATCCGATATAGAACTGCTTAATAAAACATCAGTGCTTTATCGGGACATTAAAATGCCCATCATGTGACCCAATAGTTTGATACTCATTGGACTAATCACTCATGAATTATAAATGAGTTCTAGAATATAAAATTAATTGATCTCTACATTTCGACAAGGGATACGGTCTCTACTATAGGGTAGTGCAAAACTCTTAGTTTTTATGACTCTTGCCTCTAATCCAACGCCAGCATTAAACAATATGTAATTTTACGAGCCCCGTGGACATTGACATGAGAAGTGGCCGCTGTTGTAACGGCGTGCCCGTTTTAAGCGGGTGACCGCGTGGATTGTTTTCTATTGATAACACATTTCTTTTTTCATTTTCTTTTTAAAGATTGAAAAATCCACAGCTCTTAAAGGTGCGTTTATCAGCCTTTACTTTGATTGCGTTTCCTCGTGTCTGCTTTTCAAGATAGCTGGTGAGATAACATGTAAGTACTCAAAATAACATTATAAAAATTAAAATMTTTTATAAAATAACTGGGATACTACTCGCGTTCTGATTGGCCGACTGCCGTGTTTATTTCAGAGTATGTAAACATGGTTTTGACGTCACCATTTTTTGTCAAGTGCGATTCAAAACTAGAAGTAGAATACGAAAAAAATCAGCTATTTATACAAAAAATGTATCCGAAAACTTGGCAACAACTAGTTATGAGTATTCTGCATAAAGTTTTACTATTTATTGTAGGTTTTGAGTGCATAGAATCTTCGGTATAAACTAAAGATAAACAAAGGAACTTGAAACTGGAAGTAAAAAATCAAWAACGTAATAAGCTTAACTGCATCTTTATTATTGTAAATAACGTGTGAAAAGCAAGTTACATTTTTCTATGAAGCTAGATGAGTGTTTGCATCAGGCTATGTAAACACAGGGAAAAAGTCTATTACTTAATCTATCTATTACTTAAATATAGAAACAAAATACTGATGACAGGCGATTACTTGTTGCTGAGCAAAACAGATATAAGCATAAAGTTTTCTCTTGTCCATACACTCTTCGCTATGGAAAGATAGACAATTCTAAGATATCTATTTGGATATTGGACTAACCTCTATCAGGAAACAATAACTAGGAGCGTCCATGAGGTGTGTTGAACAAATTGCGCACGGTTTTGAGATATATTTCCTCTAATTGACAAACTCTTGACTTCACAAAATGCTCAATACTCAAGTGGACCCACAAGCACAACCAATGGGTTCACTGAAAAATGACACTCTCTAAGGTATAGAGTATAAGGATATGGACGCTATTAGTAAATGGGCTCCTGTTTTCGTATATATTGCAGGTGAAGCTGGTGGTAAGGACTCTGAGAAAAGTGTTACTACAACTACAAAGAAGCCAAACGTTCCAGCTACTACTGGAATCTCAACAACAAAGGTATATGGGTGTTTTTCAGTCATAGGCAGTTTAATTTCGATAACAATTGCCGCTTTATCTTTTTCATTTTCTTCAACGTCAGAAATTTTCTTACTTGTATAACTTCTACTTGGTAAGGTAACTCAGGGTAAAGACCCAGAGTCTGCCTTCTCGCAATGCGAGTTTCTGTAGCTGGCTGAGTTTTTACAGGCAGGGTAGCTGGCGCTACGCCAAACTCCCAACCTGGAGGACCAGGGAATCGGAGTCAGGCCTCTATCCGATCAATCTGGCATGGGAAACCCTAATAGGAGCCAAAATGACTCCAACCGGCACAGCTCTAAGGGTCGCAGAGACAAAGGCRATGTCGGAAAATTAAAGTACTTAAAGAAAAAAGGAGAGAGAGGAGGAAAAGAATCTGATATCGTATATCCAATATTTTACATGGAGTGTACAGGCACTAAAACAGGCTTCCCAAACCTTAATGCTGAATAAACAGACGAAGTATACAGCAATTGCATATTTCCATACAAATGCAGTACGACTGTAGCATTTTAAATTATGGACAATGACCGGCCTGGATGACATAGCCATCAGTAAAACGAAGCTGAATAGAATAATTTACAGAATCCTTAAGATTTTGTCTTAAATTTTCATCTTCATGCCTTCAGGTATCACAGCTTACGACTAAAGATGCTACAAGCAGCACAAGCAGATCATCGCCTGGAGTAGTTGCTGCAGTGGTCATAGTTGTCCTCTTAGTCATAATTATCGCGCTCATCATCGCCTATGTGCTATGGAAAAGGAAACGGTACAGTATATGCCGAGTAGCCGTTTTACAGATACACCTAAGCCCATTAACAGCTTTACATAATCAGTTGGAAAGACATAAAGACAACAACAAAGTCATTTGCATATAAAGTTATAAAACTTCTCTCTTTTCGTTGCAGGGGTGAAAGAGTTTGGATGGTTGAACAGTATTTAAATATAGGTAAGTCCAACACCCAATTACCAGGTTTTTTTAAAAGTTAAAACAATTGATATTGGCGATGTTCTAAACTAAAGAAGTCAAATTGGGCCGAAGATAGAAAATCCGACAAAAACTTGCGGCAAGTTGGGGAAATCTAAGGTTCCAAGTTCTGAAAAGGAGTAGATAGTACATTTTGACTATCTAGTAAAGTAAATCCAAATTTTTGGATGGGTAAACTTACTTTAAGTTTATTTATATGGATTCAATGACCTACTTTGAAMCCCTTTTCCAATTTTAGTGGCCAAATTAAAACGACCGACATCGAAGGCACCTTCACAACAACACGACGAGGAGGAGAAACAAACTGATGCCAGTAACATCTACGAGGAAATACCAGACATCACCTTCGTTCAAGGACGAACTACCGCACCAGATAAAGGTATGTAAAATTATTCATTAATGCCTAGATAACGCGACAACACTACTCGTTAAGCCTCATTTGCCCATTGTTTTATTATAGAAATTTCTTTTTCATTGAACAATTCCAAATCCATTCCAAGAGAAAGGCAACAAGGAATATCTATGAGGAACGGTCGGCGGTCAATAACTGACCTTRAAGGATATGCAGTTCCAGTGGAGCTCAATGGAAAACTTCAATTCCACAGAAACCCCTCTAAGGACAAATATGACTACGCCTTACCAGACACTGAATTACCCCAATATAATGTATTACAAGAGCCATATGCACAAGTCGAGGATGGAAACACATATTCTAATGCAAATGAGGAAGACTATGATGTTCCTGAAGGTGATTTATCAGATAATATTGTATTGGGCAAGACGAAACAAGAAACAGGTACGACAGAAGACAATGAAATTAAAAAAACAAGTGAGAGAGAGTATAGGCATAGTGGTTTAGTTGAGGASGGCGATGCTAGTGGTCCAAACAGTGCAAATGAAATAACTAGTAAGAAAGCAAGAAGACGTCCACCAAGTCCACCAAGAAAAATATAGTTMTTTGCTATCATGTAAAACATTCAACAAAATAATACTTTTTCGTTTGTTGAGAGGAGTACGATCACAGCGTTATTTGTGCTCCTTAGGAGTACCGATTAAGTCGTCATAAAAATTAAAAGAAAAAACATTATGTTTTGTACTTTCCAATTTAAAATATGCCATTGAAATMATTTGTAAACGCGTCCTTAGATGTATTTTAATTTCTATCAGCAGAAGTTATGGAATGAAAACCAACATTAAACTTTGAAAATATAAAAGTTTGTTTCACTGAATGTACTATATTAACAAAAATTCTCACAACCTCGAGTACAATTTGGAATTAATAGTCACTAGTAATGTTTTGAAAGTTCTCAAATATGTAATTGCCATTACGAAGAACTTTCAAAATATGATCACTCGTGGCTATTAACTCCAAATTGTACTCCAGGTCGTACGATTTCCTATACAAACACAGTGTCGATGGTTAACAACATGGACAAATTACTTAAGGAAATATTCGAAATTTTGATGTTTTACCTCTGTAGTATCTGTTCAGACCTTTCCTCTTCCTCCTCCTCCTCCTCTCCCTTCCCACACCAATATTGATAATGAACATGATGGCATCATTTACAAAAATACGCAGTCTAAGACTGCATGTGGCTAGTGCAAGTAAAATAGAAATGAATAGAAATTTAAGCGAAATATTAGTTTCATTTTCTTACAAGAAGTGTATGTAAACAAAAGAATATGAAGAAGTAAAAAACATTTTACGTTTTAAGATTTCATTTTAAATTGTCTTCACTTTCTTTAATTTTACAAATTCATTACTCCTTCTATCGCTTAAAATACATCAAATTGCTAAGTCAAGGCTGTAAATTAAAACTATTTGAAAATGCAAGCAGTAAGTACTAAGGGCTGTTAGATATGCGATCCATGCAGTGTAATTTTTTTTTGTAATTTTCGTCAAGAAGTAGTCAACTGGTCTCGCGTCCGACTCGGAGCCGCATTAATCCGTTACGACTACAATGTAAGTCTTATAACTAACCTGCATGGATGCTGAGATGAAATGAAGATGAAGTCAAGAATATCAGGAAGCGAACGACTTAGCCAAGAAGAGCGGTCGATCGTGGTTAGCAAGAAAGCCTCCGAACAATGGTTCGTGTTGTAAATATATGACTTTTAAAATCGTTTGATCCAAATGAATTTTTGGATACTTTTAAATTAAAAAATTTGATTCGATAGCAAACAGTGAATTAGCAAGACTTTTGAATACTTTGGTACGTGGAATGTCACTAGGACGACTGTAGGCAATGTTCGTAAATACCTTGGACGACTGCTATACATTTGAAAATACTTTTGAATTTTGTTCTATCAGCAATGTGATGGAGAGTCAATAAAAGTACAAAAAAATATTTTAAGATCGTATTTTGATTTAATTAAGTCAGCTATCACTATTCATGTTCCATGTATTCCATGTATCTTTGTATAAAATGGACGTATTTGAAAGTACATCGCACATGGATCAGTTGAATTCCTTTTGGTAGTATGAATAAGATGTAACGGAAGTATAACCAATAAGAAGTATTACTGGAAGTGCAAGTTACCGGATGTGTTTAATGTATGTAACAGACTACTCAGGAGGGGTGGGGTGGTATACCGTCATTACACAGGAAATCCAATGTCCACGTAAGATACCGAAATAAGGTCGGTCCGAAATCGGCAGGAAACGAATTCGACCGAAGACTAACCGAGTTACGCAGAGACCCACGCACTTACAAGATCGATAGCATAGTGGCTTGAGACTCTTTCGAGGCACTAGCCACAAAAATAAACAGAAAATGAAAGCGGACACAACATTGTTTAGGGGCGCAGCGGAGGGGGATGGTATGTAAGTCTTCTTATACATTAGTGACTTGTATGTTATGTATGCATGCAAATGTCTAAGATGATATGCTAGAACATGTACACGAAGGTGAACATAAAGGATGAAAAGAACAAAAATCTTTGGAAAAGGCGAAGACTAGAATTGCATGTAATGCACTAGTCAATTGAAACCCCCGACCCCCGCCCCCGGGGAATACCGGGAATTTTAACGTTTGAGTGGTGTTAAAATGAAACAATTTCACCGGTAGTCGGTGGCCACATTCATTGTTAATATCCCCTCTACTGTTGCATGCAATTAACACCAAAGTGATACCTGTTGCAGCATACCCAATGAATGTTTGTAAATTTAGTAACGGAGAATTGAATGGATTAGATCAGGTTATAAAAARAGAGTTAAGATCAAAGARTATGCTGGGAAGGCAGACAAGTGATGAAAGACTTTACCTTAAGAGACAAAGAGGGGGAAGGGGATTGAAATCTTTGAGGGACATTTACAAGGAGACGAGATTGCGTGTTGTATGTTATATGGTAAAATCAACGAATCGGTGTGTGACGTCATCTTATATTATTGTAAGTCACGCGATTCCAACTATGTAACCTAAGCCCTAGTCTAATCGATCAGTTGTAGTTTTACTTAGCTCAAGTAAAGGTGATTCTCAACCAAGCAATACGCCTCATATTCATTGTCTCCCTCGAGACCCTCAATACGTGAGAGAAACGTTACATGGTGTCAGAAGTGGAGTACCAGGAAAAGAAAAAAGCAAATTACTAAAGAACCTGTATCGGGATGGTCAAC